CGACATATAATCATCAAACTGACCGGCCCTAGGTAATTCAAGATTGTTAGCATTTTACTCATTTTAGTCACATTTGACTTCAGTGGGGTTCGAACTTGAGTCTGTATTTCAACAGTTCAGGGGGTGTAGCAACTACTGAGCTACCGTCTTCAAACGAATAGAACGCCCGTTCATTATAGCTGTATTTACGGCAACTTTTAGTCCAGATGCAGCGATCGTGACCGGGGGTTCTATTCGGGTGAAGACGGTGAGGCCGGTCCTCGGTCGAGAGCTGGCAGAGGTACCCCTCGATATAACGGGTTTTGCAGGCGGCGGCGCTCTCGTTTAAGGAGAGATCTCTACACCGCTCGCCTACAAAAGAAAAATCTCTCGTTTCAATGACGCGATGCAAAAACTCTCTCTCGGTTTCGCAAAACCGAGTGCGGTGAAGTGAGCCCCCGGTCCACACATTCTTTTCTCGTGGATTAATTTATCAATCCATACGTTCATTGATTGACTCATTCATTGGACTGGTCAATAGTGGGTAAGAAAGCGAACATAACGTATCCACACGTGACGTTTCAGTTTCCGAGGAGCACCGATTGTCGAGCGACAATCGGCTAATTGATTGATTGATTGATCGGTTGATTGATTGATTGATCGATTGATTGATGGATCGATTGATCGATGGATTGATTGATTGATGGATCGATGGATTGATCGACTGAACGATTGCTTGATTGATTGATCGATTAATTGAATGATTGATTGATTAATTGATTATTTGATTGATTGATTGATTATTTGATTGCTTGATTGATTGACTGGTTGATTGTTTGATTGGTTGGTCGGCTGATTTTTTCATTGATTCGGTCGGTGGGCATTTACGCATTGCTGTCCGATTGGCACTTTAGGCAAAGATCATCTCAAGAATGATCGATTGACGATGAACAATGACATATCAAACAATCACGTCATATCATACGATTGGGCCTAAGGATGATTAGTAAACGGTTTATTATTGATGATACATCGAAGATTTTACTTCCGTCGACAAACGATTAGATTGATGATTGATAATTAACCAAAGACACCGTACGACAATTGACTTTACTACCAATAATAACTAGTATATAACTTTCATGATTAACGGTGATGACCAGATGATGATAATACAGTAGTTGTCGGTCGACGATAAAACTACGTCCTATGCGCCGTGCCTTCCCTCCGCTAGGACAGGTGATAAGAGCACCCTCCCTTGGCGAGCTTCCTGATTGCTCCAGTCCATTGGTGGTGATATGTTTTAGTAGATAGATTCAAGATTTTAATGTTATTTATCAATTACGGATTTTCATTGTATTTAACTTATCTTATTTATCTTCTATTGTATTTATCTTTTTTATTATCTAATCAAATCAAAATAAATAAATTTATAAAGTTAAATAGGAATTTAATAAGCTAATCCCATACTACGAGCTGTTTCAGATCCAAGATATACTCTAACAGCCGCACCTGCTGGAACCCGGGTCCAGCGTCTCATTATACATCCAGAGTCTGAGCATACAGTGTCAAGTGTCGACCTGCCAGCATTGATTGCCCTGGTCCCCACAGACTCCCCAGGGGATTAACTGAGCAGATACTGAGTTTGTGCTGGAAACATGCACCGGTTTGGGAGAAAGGAGGTCTCTTCAACCCTGCTGCAGGGCGCCTATCCAGACCTGGCCACCTAGCCCTCTTCCCCCGAATACAACGTACGGTCATTATAGCTGTATCTAGACTGAAAGATGTCTCAAATACAGCTATAATGACCGTACGTTGTATTCGGGGGAATAAGGTAGCCTTCTTCCTCCCCTTAGAGGCAGCACATGGGAATCTGCTTTGTACATAGGAATGACTGCAGCACTTTTGAATTGAAAGACCAAAAAAGGGATGAGCGATTGCTGGGCTAAGGCGGGAAAAGGGACGGGTCGAGGTCAACAGTCCAAAATCGAAAACTCCACTCCGATCCCATACTCACTGAACCCGATCCCGTGACATGAAACGAAAAAGAAGCAAGAGCGGGGTGTGGGGGGGGGGAGGCGGAATGGATGGCAACCAGACGTCGGGTCCCCGATCGGGAATACCATCGATGGTCAAGACACGCGCGGACAAATTTGAGAAAATAAAAATGTGAAAAACAAAGTCCTTCGGGACATCCGTTAAAATTGGAACGATGCAGAGAACTTAGACAAGATTAGCAAATGGCTCCTGTACACATTCAAGGATGACACGCATGAATCGAGAAATGGTCCCACAAAAAAAAAAAAAAAAAAAAAAAGGAGTGGCGGAAAGCAGGTGACGGAAGACCGTCCCGACAACGCCCCTCCTCAACCAAAGCCTGCCCGCCTTCCCCGAACACAACGCACACTGATCACGAATATTAGCTTTTCCGGTGCGATCCAGTCGTGATGACGAGGGCGCGTTGAAATCAGTGGAAGACGGCAGATATGCCTGCCTGCCTGCATCGAAGCGCGGACTTTATTAGTATTTTATTTTATTTTTTGAGGCAAAACAATTCATTTTCACTTCATTATATAATAACAATTAAGCGCTGACTTCAGGTCGCTCGCCAGCCGAAAAGAAAATCAAAGCCGCAAAAACAAAAACAAAAAAAAAAGGGAATATAGAGCCGTTGATGCAGGGAACGGTGTGATCGGACGATGAGGATGGCGAAGGCGGCGCTGGCAACGATGGTGAGATACCGCGATGGGGAGGAGTGCTAGTGGAAAGACGATCACGGAGAAAACCGTACTCCTGACACAGAAAAAACACTGAAAATAAAATAAAAGATTCATAATTACAAAACGATCTTTGTTCCAGGTGACCGCAAATCCTCTCTTTTCCACTTTCTCCCTCCGCGGTCCTCTCCTTACATAGGTACGGTGAATGGCGTATGACACAAATCAGCAAGTTCAATTTCAACGAGACGTCAACATGGGCTACTGGGAGAAAATGCTTGACGGACGGCCAGCATGCAGTACGCACCCATCTACCCACAAAATGACGACCACCTCCCCCCCACCGCCTGCTCTTCGCACATGGTTATGGTTAACCCTGCATTTTGTTTTTATTGTGGGTTGGTTTTCCATGGCGAGGATTAGGGCTACTCATGGCTTCTCTCTCTCTCTCTCTCTCTCTCTCTCTCTCTCTCTCTCTCTCTCTCTCTCTCTCTCTCTCTCTCTCTCTCTGTGTCTGTGAGTGTGTGTGTGTGTGTTGGCAGCCCGGAGAGGTGCAGCGATGGAAGGGGATCATGAGGAATCTCTCTCTCGCCACTCATGCTCTCTCTCTCTCTCTCTCTCTCTCTCTCTCTCTCTCTCTCTCTCTCTCTCTCTCTCTCTCTGTGTGTGTGTGTGTGTGTGTGTGTGTGTGTGTGTGTTGGCAGCCCGGAGAGGTGCAGGGATGGCAGGGGGTCATGAGGAAGTTGCGGGAGTCGTCTTGACAGTAGGATTGTCCAAAATACAAACTAAAAAACATGTGAAAAAACATGTGAAAAACCCTACTCAGCTCGTCGATCGACCGATCACGATCCGCCGGTCGACAGCCATAGACAAGATCGGTCGATTGATGAGCGTAAGAGTTCATGACCTATTTTTCACTTCGATCGACAGCCATAGAATGCATCAGAATAATTCTACGCTCGTCGAAAGACACGTGTACGCATATGCTGGATGGAATGCACTGAGTACTTTTGGCTCGTCTTTCTTTCTATTATAGCAGCTTTAGTTTTTTCGGTTGTTTGTCTCACTTCAACCAGGGAAGTGCGCACCATTCTCCACGATGGCATCAGACTACTTAGGCGCATACGTTTCCCCTTCTTTCCGGTGGGCGAAAAACTCTTTCTGTACACACAATTGATTGATTTCCGCCTTTTTTCGTGAGTGCGACTGTGGATGTACAGTACACAGTTTGGCGAATTACTTCCAAACTCAGCGCCGACCCACGCTGAGATGCATGTGTGTATCTCGTACGTTGAACGACGGCGAAAGAAGGGCGCGTGAAGGTGAAGAGCGGCTTGGGGGAGAGACGTTCTCGTACGGTAAACGACTGCGAAAGAAGGGCGTGAAGGTGAAGAGCGGCTTGGGGGAGAAGCGGAAGGAAGGGTGGGTAGGCGGAGGGTGGGGGGGGAAGAGCAGGGACCCGCGGGGAACGAAAATTTACATGGTGAAACACGCTCGCCATGGTGGTGATCCACTATCACGAGAAACAGCACCGCTACCGGGGGGACTTCGGAATACGAGGTTCTGTGCTACAGCTGGAGAGCAACAGTCCGCGTTCTGTCCAGGCCTGTAATCCTGCAGGGCCGGCGGGAAAAAAAAATGCCAACGTCTTTTCCTTGAATGGGGACAAGCACCCCGCACACAGAACCCCCTACACATATCCACCAAACAACACAGACTCAGGAACCGAGCTTTGCTGGAGGCCCGTAGCAATTGAGTGATCACCCTCCCTCCCTCTCTCTCTCTCTCTCTCTCTCTCTCTCTCACACACACACACACACAC